AAAAAAAAAAAAAAAAAAAAAAATTAATTAATCTTGCTTAAAGGATTACTCATGCTTTTATGGTATCTTCCTCTTCTTTCAATAGATTGTAAATTCCTCAAAGAGCCCCTACTTTCTAATCTCTCCTTATCAGCACCATCTATTGTTATATTCTATAAATAGTAAGGTGCTTACTAAATCTGATCATAAATATAAAGGGGAAAAATGAACTTGGTTCATTTATTTGGGGAAATTCTGTATCATGATAAATGAACAATAGGGTAAAAGATGGTATCATATATTGAAGTGTGGAAAAAAGGGGAAGAAATAGGTTAGGGGATGGAAATCAAGATACTAGTTAAACTTAAGATACCTACTACAAAAAAAAAAAAAAAGATACCTACTACACATTCAAGGGAAAGATATGAGTAAGCTGTTCACTATGTAAGTCAGGTGGTTAGGTGACAGGCTAGGCCTGGAGACATAAATTTGACAGTCTTCAGAATACAGATGGTTTTCAAAACTGTGACTCCTGAATGAGATCACTAAAGGAGTGGGGAGAGAGACCAACAATGCTTTGCAGCACTCAAATATTTATGGCTGAAAGAGGAAGAAGATCAACAAAGAAAAGGTTCTCTTTTGTGTCCTAGAAACCAACTAAAGAAAGTATTCAAAAGAGCAGGGAATACTTACATCAAATGCTACCATGGAATTAAAATAAAGAGATGTGAGAACAATTGTAACTTTGATAAAATACTTTACAGTGGCGTGAAAAGCATGAAAGCCTAATTATAGAGGGGTCAGGAAAGAATCAAAGATGAGAAGGGCTGGGCATAGCAGCTCATGCCTATAATTCCAATACTTTGGGAGGAAGCTTGAGGCTCAGAGTTTGAGACCAGCCTGGCAACATAGTAAGAACTTGTCTCTATAGAACATAAAAAAATAAGTTGAGCATGGCGGTGTGTGTCCCGTAGTCCCAGCTACACAGGAGGCTGAGGAGGGAGGCTTGCTTAATAAGCCCTGGCATTTGAGGCTGTAGTGACCTAAGATTGTGCCACTGCATTCCAGCCTAGATGACAAAGCAAGACCCTCTCTCTCTTAAACAAAGAACAAACAAACAAAGAGTACAAAGAATACAGAGTATAAAAAATTTATCTGAGAAACACTGCATAAAGAGGAGTAAAGAAATAGAAGGCAGCTTGAAAAATGGGATTAAGAGAAAGTTTTACTTTTTTTTAAGTTAGAAGATGTGTCTGGGTGCTAAAAGAAGTTATCTAGTACATTAAAGAAGATGATGATTAGTAACAGATACTCACATGTGCCCCAGAAGTATGTAAAAATATTATATCAAAAAATATTAAAAATGATTAATATTGGGCTCAGCACCCATGCTCAGTGGTTAGGGTGGCGGACAAATACACCAGGGCTGGAGGATTCGAACCTGGCCTGGGGCCTGCTAAACAACAATGACAACTACAACAAAAAAATAAGCTGGGTGTTGTGGCGGGCACGTGTAAGTCACAGCTACTTGGGAGGCTGAGGCAAGAGAATCCCTTAAGCCTGAGAGTTTGAGGTGGCTATGAGTTATGACGCCACAGCACTCTACTAAGGGTGAGATAGTGAGACTCTGTCTCAAAAAAAAAGATTAATATTCAAGGAAGGTGAAATAAATTGAGGGGCAAAGTTCATGAAAAGGTGAGAAGAAAAGAGATAAAGGCTGGCCATAGACTGAAGTAGGGATAATTCATCCATTGTGATAGATGGGGAGACAAAAGATATGGCAAAACAGATGCAGACAGTAGATGCAGTGGTGGAAAGGTAAGTTTTTTCTTGGTTTGTTAGTGAATTAGAAAACAAAGTCAACAAATGGAACCGAGAACAGAGGAGTAACACTGGAAATGTGAAGAAAAAGAGTTGTAAAATAAGTCATCTTGCAGTGTACTAGGGAACCACTTGGGGTTGGTAGTCTTAAATTGAAAGTAGACTAGTCAATATGGTTGTTTTAATTTCTCTTACATTTTAGTGCTCAGTGGAGGCCCAGAATAGGCATAAGGCTGGATTTAACAAGTTTATTGAGTTTTTCAGGTGAGTATGACTGAGGGCAACCATGGGTACTGGTGAAAGATCTGATTATAAGGGTGGCACCTGTGGCTCAGTGAGTAGGGCACCAGCCCCATCTACTCCGGGTGGCGGGTTCAAACCCAGCATGGCCAAACTGCAACAAAAAACAGCTAGGCGTTGTGGCGGGCGCCTGTAGTCCCAGCTACTCGGGAGGCTGAGGCAGGAGAATCGCCTAAGCCCAGGAGTTGGAGGTTGCTGAGAGCTCCACAGCACTCTACCAAGGGCAATAAAGTGAGACTCTGTCTCTTTAAAAAAAAAAAAAAATCCACCCCACCCCATCCCCCCTAAAAAGATCTGATTATAATAAGGAATTATAGGTGAAATCTAGCCTGGGTATGGAGAGAAGACAAGACAGCGAAAAGAAAAACATTGAAAAAAATGACAAACTAGCAATCCTCATAAAGATGAAAGAATGTCAGCTTGAGGGTACAAAGAGAAGGTGTAGAAATTGGTATTTTAAAGGTCAGTTTCAGTTACTGGTATTGTCAAAGTCTTAGACTTGAAATTTAAGATATACTCTAAAAGTTTAAAAACCATCTTTAATTATTCTTTTTCTTTCTCAACCCATGTTCCAGTCTATCAGGAAGTTCTATGAGCTCTACTTTTATAATATATCCCAAATATAAACTCTACCCACTACCACTCTCCTCCTAGACTTCCATCAGTTCTCTTTTGGGCCAGTTTCCTCACATCCACTTGTGGTCCATTATAGTCTATTGTACAAATAGTAGCCAGAGTATCTTTATAAATGAGAGATCATATCATTTCCCTACCAAAACATTCCTGTCTTCTCTCACTTAGGAGAGAATCAAAAACTCCTATACAACCTCATACTTGGCTCTTGTTACCTCTTTTTTCATCTACTGCTGTCCCCAATATGTACTGTTCCTTCATCATAATGGCCTCCTTGCTTTTCCCTAAGCACCTTCCCATCTCAGGGGTTTTGAACTTGTCCTCTCCAATATATTCCTCTCCCAAATGTCCTCAGAGGTACTCTTCTAACTTCTCCAGCTTCCTACTCAAACATCATCAGCTCAGAAAGGACTTTCCTTACCCATTTAAAGTCTCTCCTTTCTCTTCCTCTGCTTTATCTTTCTTCAGAACACTTATCACTATCTGTCATTGTATCATATATTTGTTTACTTTTTGTCTGCCCTCTATAAGATAAACTCCACAAGGGCAAAGACTTCATCTGTGGTTCAATACTCAGAACACAGCACACAGTAGATCTCAATGAACATTTGTTGTATAAATTAATGACTCAAAAATACACAATCACTTATTTTTTGGTTATAAAGATTTCAAAGATATAATACTTAACTTTTCTGAGTTTCTGATTTTCCAAAAAAAGACCATTATGAGAAAATTCAGTTCATTAATTCTATGTTACAAACCTAAGATTAAGTCTAAGATGTAATATACAAAGAAGTTACCTGATCTTTGAGATATTTCCTTATGTTTCGATGGGCTCGAGAACATTCTGTTAATAAGCTGAGAACTGGTGTCAGACCCTCTCTATAGCTGCTTCCCTAGAAAGAAAACCATGCAGGCTACATTAGTTTCTAATAGTATTACTTTCCTTCACATAACTCATACCTTTTTTGAGGGGGGATATGCTACAAAAAACTTGCGAATTATTTTAAAAATTATTTACCCAATAATATCTCCATTTTATCAGTTATCTTCATGCTTATTAATGCTTATTTTTGACCTTTCTTGATTTTCCTACATTTTCTAGGGTTTCCATTGACTCAGCTAATGGACTTAAATGAAGCAAAGTTTTGCTGGTCCATGTATGGGACTTTTTAATATAGTTACCCAATAAAGTCAGTGACAGAGCAGAGAAAATAAACAGCTTACAACAAATCGAAAACTAAAAATGTCTTTTCTTAAGTAAAGATGTCTTCTTTTATTTATTTTTTGAGACAAGAGTCTTACTTTGTCACCCTCAGTAGAATGCTGTGGTGTCATAGCTCACAGCAACCTCAAACCCTTGAGTTCAAGCAATCCTCTTGCCTTAGTCTCCCAAGTAGCTGGGACTATCGGCATCCTCCACAATGCCGGGCTAGTTTTTTTTTTTTTAGAGACAGGGTCTCACTCTTGCTCAGGCAGATCTTGAATGTGTGAGTGCAAGCAATCCACCCACCTTGGCCTCCCACAGTAGTAGGAATACAGGCAGGAGCCACTGCGCTGGCCTCTATTTTTTTTTTTTTGAGACAGATTCTCACTTTGTGGCCCTAGGTAGAGTCCCACGGTGATACAGCTCACAGCAATCTCAATCTCTTGGGCTCAAGTAATCCTCTTGCTTCAGCCTCCTGGGTAATTGGTGGCCACAATGCCAGTATACTTTCAGAGATGGGATCTCACTTTTGCTTAGTTTGGTCTTGAATTCCTGAACTCTAGTAATCTACCAGCCTTGGCCTTCCAGAGTGCTAGGATTACAGGCATGAGCCACTGTGCCTGGCTGGGAAGATGTCTTTTAAGTATTAGTATTAAGTGTTTGGGAGGTAATTTTTAATTCTAGGACTTACAAAGTACCTGCATGGAATAGTAATTAATTTTCCCTTTGTTTTCAGGGAACGGTCATAATTTTGGTATTGCATGAACACAATTTTTCAGCATTAAACAAATAAATTCACCTGGTTTCAGCAATTTATCATATATTGTAATAAAATGCTTCCCAAAGTAAAATTACACAACATGTCAGCTACAAAAAGACTTAGATTCTAAGCATATAGGAAGGGGGGAGGGGGGGAGGGGGTAATGGGGGGAGGGAGGGGGATTGGAGGGATCACTTCTGAGGTTTATCTTACAAGGGTACAAATGAATCTTTCTAAGAGCAGAATGTGAACGTTTTAAAATAACAACTAAGAAAATGACACGAAGGCTATGTTAACCAGTTTGATGGAAGTGTTTCGGATTGTGTGTGAAAACCCCACACTGTACCCCTGAAGTGCATTAACGTACATAGTTACCATTCAATAATAATAAAAAAAAAAACTTAGATTTAAAAATCATGCTCCTTGGTATGTTTGTAGTATGGCATATTTATATTCTTTGAAAGCATCTTCCCAAGGCTTTTATTTTATCAGCCTTACCTTGTCTATTCTCTTCTCCATAAAATTGAGTAAAACATGAATGGCCTCCATATTCATGCCATTGTATACCATGGTACTGTTTTTTAAAACTGTTTCTTTTTCAGCTGTTTGATCACTGGGCAGTTCATCTAGAGTTGTTGCCTCTTGGGTTGTTTCTTCATGGGTTAACGGGCAAATGAGAACATCCAAACAAGAGACAGGAACATTGCTTAAAAGGTTGACTGCATTGCTGAAAAGCAATTTAAAAATACAATATTTTAATTTGATTGAATAGTTCTTTAAAATGCAAATATAAGAATTTCAGAAATGACTTCTAGGAGTCAATTAAAATTTTTCTTTTTCAAAATGAGCCATTAATATTATTTGGCACTTACTAAGAGAAAATAAAGAGTTGTTTCAAATAACACATAAGACAAATCAGAAAAACGGATGTTAAATAGACAGACACAATCACATGATGTCATGACACTTTCTGAAATGCTAAGATAGAATTAGTAAGCTTTAATACTTTAATTTTATTATGACAACAATGTTAGCTTTGCATTTTTCCTCCTGGGGAGAAAAAAATCCTTTTGTGGATCCATTGGTGTTTTATTATTCCTTAGATTACAACACAAAGCAGCTTATCACAGAGGCAACAACATTAAAAATTAAATATTATAGAATTAAGTTTTGTTTTTTCTCTACATGTAGAAAATACAATTTTTGAATCATCCCATTTTTTTGTGAGACATTTGCAGGAAAGGGAAATGGGAGCTTTTTTTCTTACTCAACGTCTTTTAAAGTGAAGTCAACATAGCTGTCTAACCTTTATCTCTTAGGCCTTTCTACTATATATTAATAAACACGTTAAGCCTGGGATGCACACCAGTAGGGGGAACCCAAACCTTGTATTTTTGGCATTCCCTTGTGCTGTTGTTCAGTGTACAGAAGATTAAACTGACACTAACAACTTAAAAATTAGACATGTTCAATGAAAATATTTTCCAAGTGCTAGTTAGTATTCTTTCATCTAAAAGGAGAGGTAGTGCTCTATGCTAACTTGATCTTATGCGCTTGTGCCTCAGAACTTCCTGATAAACAACAATGAAAAGACAGGCATTACATTTCCTAGTGACAGAGAAGCAAATCTAAAAATAACCACATCCTAACTAAAAATAAACTCTTGCAAATGCAATTTAAAAGTCTAACCACTTGAAAGCCAAACTCGGGGCTTAATCCATCTAATGTTATCTTAATTTAGAGCATGGTAGTTCTTTTTAATTTAGATTACACTGACACTTTAAAAAATAAAGCAAAACAAACAGAAAAACAAACCAAAAAAACCACAAAGATTTTTCTCTCCTTTACCCTAAAATGTGTGGCTCCATTTGCCCAAGAATGAATATTTCCTTTCTTTCTTTCCATCTTACAGGAAAATAAAAATCAGTAAGAAATTCATTTAAAAGACAGACAATGAAGAAAAATGAGACATCGAAAAATTATGAACCAAGGGCAAAAAATAATCTAACAAGTCCTATGAATAAATAATTTCTAATAAAATAAAAGTTATTTGGTTGTCTTCACTAAAACCAAATAACTGTAAAATAGAGCCTCCAATTTTGGTTATTTGTAAATAATACAAGTGTACAATGCTTTTTGTATAAACTTTCTTTTAAGATTTTTTTGCAAACATCTGTAGCTTCTTATCTATAGTTTAAAATGTTTCGTTTCTGACTTAAGCATTTGGAAATTGTTAAATACCACAGCTTTATTGGGGAAAAAAGAAGAACTACTTTTGAATTATTTTCTAAAATTGTCCAAGGCATTCTAAAATGTTAGGATTCTTTCCTAAACATAAGGCAATAGGTTCTGAAGTCTATCCATAGTATCATTGTCTGAATCTACCATCGAGACCAGACTAAAAAGTTAAAGATGGGTCATTTCATTACAAAGGAATGTTTCCCCTTCACATTCTTAAAGTAAGCAGTTTCCAGGAATTCAGTAAATTTAAGAAACTAAACGAGTTTGATTCAACAAATATTTGGAAGTTTTAGGCTTTTCAAGAAAAGTTCACATTTTCTCATTTCTTATTAAACAACTCGTTCCCAAACAACTACAAAATTAATTTTCTGGCTCACTGTGTTTGAGCTATTCTTTTTAAGTAAGGAAGGCCAGCTTTCTGAGCTCTGTCACTTCTCTGACAGTTTTATTTGTGGTAGAAGAGTGTATGAAATTCTCCAGCTACCAGGAAGTCAGTGACTATGCACAGATCTGCACAATGGTGTTTGCATTCCTACTCCAGGGGGTAGAAATACTGTGTATATTACTCTCCCCTTTTCAGCTTCCTAGAGATCATTAATCACTTGGACATGACATCCTCCCACTCATGCTCCCAGCCCCCTCCTGATATGCAGATAGAGTTAAAGCAAGGCCTGTTTAGAGTTCCTTTAATGTCCTGCTTAAAGCCTTGTTAGTTGTGGGACAGAGAAGGCAATCTTAAATATAGACCTCTATCAATCCTCGGACTGAACATAATTTAATACCAAATGACACTGCAGAGCATGTTAATGGCACATGTAGATCTATAGCTGTTAACAAATCTTCCTGGTCAAATGCATGAAAACTTCTTTATATCTGGAGCTCACATATCTTTTTTCACACCTAGAGAGTCCATATAAATAAATCTTAAGATCTCCAAAAGAGTTTCCTTCTGCTCTCTTTATGTATTTTTGAAAATATTTTTTCTTTGTGGTAAGAGCACTGAAGTTCTATCCCCTTAGCAAATTTTAAGTATACAATATAATATTGCTAATATTGCTATGTAGGCTCTATGCTGTATAGGAGAGCCTATATCCCTTGACCAATACCTCTCTATTTTTCCCTCCCTTTAGCTCCAGATAACCAACCACTCTTCTAATACCTGGTTCTATGAGAGTCACTATTTTAGATTGCTCAGGGCCAGGCATGATGGCTCATTTCTGTAATCCTAGCCTTTGGGAGGCCATGATGGGAGGACTGATTGAGGCCAGGAGCTCAACCTGGGCAACAGAATAAGACCCTACAAAAATTAAAAAATATTAGCTGGGATCTAGTTCAGCGCCTGTAGCACAGTGGTTATGGCTCCAGCCATATACACTGAGGTTGGTGGGTTCAAACCCAGCCGGGGCCAGCTATAACAACAACAACTGTAACAAAATAGCCTGGCATTGTGGTGGGTGCCTATAGTCTCTGCTACTTGGGAGGCTGAGGCAAGAGAATCACTTAAGTCCAAGAGTTTGAGGTTGCTGTGAGCTGTGATGCCATGGCACTCTATTGAGGGTGACATAGTGAGATTCAGTTTAAAAAAAAAAAAAAGTAAAAAAAAATATTAGCTGGGATCATGCAGTTTTGTCCTTCTGTGTCTATTTTATTTCACTTACCACGATGTCTTCCAGATCTATCCATGTTATGAGGAAATCCAAGTGGGAAGATTTCCTTCATTTCAAAGGATGAATAGTTTTCCCTTGTGTGTGTGTGTACCATGTTTTCTTTATCTATTAACTCCCTGACATTTAGGTGGTTTCTATACATATATACGGCCTACTTTGAATAGTGTTATAATGCAGCAGTCCCCAACCTTTTTGCCACCAGGGACCAATTTCATGGAAGACAATTTTCTCATGGTGGGGAAGAGTAGAGAGGGGGGAATGGACAGGAAGCAGAACTCAGGCATGATGCTCTGAGGCATGGTTTCTAACAGGCCACAGATGGGCACCTAGGGTGGGAGGCTAGGAACCGCAGTTGTAATGAACATGGGAGTGTAGATATTTCTTCAAGATAGTAATTTTATGTCCTTTAGTAATATGGTAATTCTATTTTTTCCTTTGAAGAAACTTCCACTTTGGAATTCTATAATGGCTGTACTAAATTACATTCCCACCAATAGAGTACAAAGGTTTCCTTTTTTCTGCATCCTCACCAATACTTGTTATCTTTTTTTTTTCTTTTTTTGAGACAAAGTCTCACTTTGTTACCCTTGGTAGAGTGCCATGGCATCATAGCTCACAACATCCTCAAACTCTAGGGCTCAAACGATTCTCTTGCTTTAGCCTCCCAAGTAGCTGGGGCTACAGGCGCCCTCCCCAACTCCCAGCTTGCTCTGGCTCAGGATGGTCTCCAACCTGTGAACTCAGGCAATCCACCCACCTTAGCCTCCCAGAGTGCTTGGATTACACATCTGGCCTCTTAGCTTTTTTTTTGTAACAGCCATTCTAACAGGTATGAAGTGACATCTTATTGTAGTTTCGATTTGCATTTCTATGATGATTAGCAATGTATGGATACATACATCTTCTTTGGAGAAATGTGTCTATTCAGGTCCTTTGCCTGCTGTTAATCAGTTTCATTGTTTTATTTTTTTGCTATTGAGTTCCTTACATATTTTAGATATTAATTCCTTACCAGATAAGTGGTTTGCAAACATTTTCTCCCATTCCATAGGTTTCTTTTTCATTTTGTTGAGTATCTCCTTTGCTGGGCAGAAGCAGTTTAGTTTGATGTAATCCCATTTGTCTATTTTTATTTTTGTTATTTATGCTTTTGGTATCATATCCAAGAAATCACTGCTAAGACCAATATCTATAAGCTTTTTCTCTGAGTTTTCTTCTAAGAGTTTTAAAGTTTCAGTATTTTACATTTAAGTCTTTAAATCCAGTTTTCCAACATCATTTATTGAGGAGACTATTCTTTCCCCAATGTGTCTTCTTGGCATGCTTGTTGAAGATCAGTTAGTTGGCTGTTTATGCATAGGTTTATTTCTAGGCTTTCTGTTCTGTCCCCACCTCCATAGCTGACCACTTCCCTACAGTGACCACCTCCTTAAGCTGACCTAATTTTCATAGACTGGACATGCATCACAAGTACTTAATGGAAGTTCCTTATGTTGACTACCTCCGTATGTTGACTAGTTTGTTATAGTTAACTCATAGAGGTTCTACTGTATATGTTTATTTTTATGCCAGTAACCAAGCTATTATAATTACTGGAGCTTTGTGGCATCTTATAAAATCAGGTGGTATGATACCTTTAGCTTTGTTATTCTTACTCAAAAGTGCTTTGGCTATTCAGGGCCTTTTGTGGTCCCCCTCCTACCTCAAAAGAAAAGAAAGAAAGAAAGAAGGAAGGGAGAGAAGGGAAAGAAGGAAGGAGAGATGGATAGTTGGAAGAAAATTTTTGAGGTAATGAAAAAGTTCAAGGCTTTGATTCTGG